CCACTTGGTTGCATCTGCGGATCGCGGAACAACGCACGTTTTATCCAAAAGGTTACAAGCTGAAAGCATATCCCACAGTTACCTTTGCGAGACGACATTTGTGACAGTCTAAATAAACTGTCCCCATTTTTCCCGCTGGTGCGAAGTTCAACTGTCTCAAATACGACGCATTAATATTACCAAATCGATTAACATTTAGCATCCCCTGCCCTCGCGCACGTGAAGTGTATAGACCAGACGGCGTTACATCATTAACGCGCGCCGACAGAGACCGGCTAGCATTTTTGGGCGGAGACGCGGCGGGAAGATGGAGATATTTTGGACACACGGACTAATGTTATCTTGCGGCGTGGTTATACCTGTCCAAACTTACTTACCTTAACGCACTCTCACGTTTTAGTTACAAACTGACAAAATTGATTTCTTCAGTCTCGACCAAACTTTACGAAACTCAAGAATTTGTTCAAAAATGAGCACACAATACAATTTATATTAGATAGGCCTGCTCATGGAAATGCTTTTTGCGATTCGAAACAAACCCGTTGTAGCGAGTTCATTCCTGCACTTCTTCACTATTCTTTCCAACAAAGCACATTACCAACCGATCTGAAGAGAGATTTCAATATTTGTTTAAATTTATCCCAAACTGCCATTTGTATATATTAATGGAGCATACATGTACTTTGGGTAACATCTTAGGGAGTAGAAGCGACATTCGGTTATAATTCAAGAAAATATCTATAACTTTTACCACATGGTAACAATTGTGAAAACTTAATAGTACCAAGTTACCAATTTCAAGCGGGAATTCTTTTTGTAGAATAAGAAAAATCACAATATTATGACAGGCCTATTTCAAACTCGGTTTTCGCGCGCAAATCTAAAAGAGAAAAGCCTACCAAAAACCCACGCGAAGTTCAACTCAGAGAAAGTGTTTCCTTTTACAGGTGAACCTCATCTCCTCGGTTCAAATGTGTGCGTGACTGGCATAAACCTTGCACCCCCAAAATGGCTTGACAAGTTTGGTTTATACATTTACCTAAAATGACATCAGTATCATGCACACCGCGGTGGGTATCATTCACTTGCACAGTTGGAGAGCGTCTGAATTTATTCTACTTACCATAAAACTGTGAGAAGAATTTGTGTATGGTATAGGCACCGCCTGACTGAAAGTCCACGATGTTTGGCGCAAAGTATATCCATTTTCGTGATAATTCAAAACGATATAGTTCTGCTGTCGAAGTAACAAATATATTTTTTTCTCCAATCAACACCAAATTGTTTCGCAGTTCCACTAAGTTTAACTTTTACAAGTCGTTCGTTGGTCGGAAAGTTTTGAGATGAAGACGATCATTGTGTTTGGTATAGCGTTGAACATTCAAAGTTCGTCAGGGGAGTAATAGAGCTCCGATGGTGTCGAGTGTAGCAAGCATCTTCTGGTGGAACGATTTGGTCTGACTGCAAGGCGATCAGTTAAGATTCCAGTTTCTCCCAGGCAGATTATGCTGTCAACACACGCGATCTCATCCTACGCGGCCAACCCCCTGTCGCACGAACCATGGTGTACGATGATGACTTCCCAACAACTTGTACCACGGATCCTAAATTATGACCCAATCCTCAAAAAGTCAGGGCTGGCTGTAAAATTTATAGCTCTGTCGCAGTGATTGTTAATACTGGGCGATCTTTTTGGCGAGGCTGGGGCTACGGTTAAGACTGGATTATCCCGATTTCCTCTCCCGCGTGTACACAGTCACCAGATGCACTCACACACAAAACGGTCCAAGAACTTTGTAAACCAAGAGCAATAGCGAAGTCACTGCTTTATGTGCCGGGGGTTCTGGGCGGCGCGTACGGTGCGTGTCTCCCCATCGGTGATAATACGTCCTATCATTGTCGAGCCGTCAACTTGAATACATAAACTTCTTCCACGGGAACCTGGAGGGTGTTGTGCTCTTTCAGACAGACTCTAGTGTTGCTACTGTGCAACAAGTGGCTGACGAGTTGAAAAGAACTGAAGGTCTTTGGTGTGCCGTTTTATTATTTTTTTTCTCTCTCAACACAGCAAACTCTCTCGCTCTGACTCGGGCACTGATGCTATCTATCCGCGTTGTACTTCGCAGTTTTTTTTCTCACTAGTCGAACAAGCTGATGTTAAAAAATTTTGGTCACTGACTACTAGGCTAGGGCAGTGGTCAGTCTTCCCAGCTACTATCACCGTATCCACGGTCAATACTAGCCTCCGATACCAACCTCTGATCTACCCCGTTCTTATCTCCTCTAATCCCGGCCAGTAATGTTGCACGGCGCATCTGAAGGACCCACTCCAGCGACCCAAGTGTTTGAGTTTGGATTACTCTTATCTCTTCAAGAGTGCTTAATGTAATTGGTGTAATTTGTGTTGATGTATCAGTTAACCTCGAAAGACAGTTGCTATTTTTGTAATGTTGTATTTTACGTTTGTAGGGTGATTCATTTTACAGATTTTGCAGTGCGGGAGAATCCAAAATAGCTGAAAGTTGAGGTGCTTATGTTCCTAGTGTCCTAGTGTACGACACGAAGGCGAGCCAATTTGATGATAAAACTAAATCTTGAAATAAATGTGAAGTTTGTCAATCGGGATTCTTTAATTGTTCAGCAATTTACACTTCATTTTATGAAAATATCTGGCATACTCGTAACTGGATATGCTTTCTCGTTTGTTACTTTGTTGCTCATGCTATATGTACCATGTAGCATCTTCTTAAATACAGAAATATTAGTTGACACCTCGTTCGATATAATTGAGCACAAGGTATGTTTCCAATATTGCACAAGACCCATGGCCAAATAAAACAAACCGAAAACAAATTATTTACTAGTCATTGTTTTCCTAACCAAATACCCTTCCTTTATGGTGAGCAAGGGGCTTTTGAAACAGGCGCAAGGATAAACCTCCATTTCTTGAATGCCTGAGCTCAATTTTGAATGGCCCGAGTTTGGTTTGTTAGCGGTAAGCCCATTAACTCTACCCTGGTAGCTCCAAGCAAGAATAGAAGAATCGAGAGAAAAAAATGGAGGGAGAGAAAAAGGCTCAGTTGCTGCCGCTACAAACTAGGCGATTTATTATTCCCTGGACACAAAAGGTCTGGTTACTGTATCGTTTACAGTTACGCATGAAGGATTACGGGTGCTTGCCAATGACACCACCACCGCGACGGCACACACAGCAGGCCGACCGCCGCCGGGCAGATCGTGTCTCGAGCCCCGGTGTGAGTTGAGAGTGAACTGCGGTGATGCACAATGAACCGTCACTGCACGGACGCTATGCGTCTGAAAGGCTGATGTTAAACTCGGGCTGGCCTGGTTTGACCAAATGGTGGCGCTGTCCAGCTCGAGCTAGCCGAGTTGGGTTGTCTGCTATTTTACTGGGTAAACGAAAATGTGATTTCAAAGTGACTGATTGTAAGACTAAATTGAGGTATTGCCTGAAATTTATGGGCCTCCTTCGGAAATAGAATAGAGTTTGGCCACACATAGCTATGAACATTTTGTCCAAAATGTTCGCCCTTCTTTGGGAAGGATGTGCATCGAGGGAGGGGTTAAATTAAGGACGGCGTATACTTTGTTCACATGGAGAACTTCTTGAAGAAATCCAGTGCAATCAGCTGAAGTTCAGGGTGAAAAAGAACATCAGGATCCCTTGTGTTCAGTTTCCACAAAGTTTAAAACAAACGAGAAACTGAAGTACGACACCGCGAACAGCATTTTACCATTGGCATGCCCGCACAAAGCTAGCTGCTTACACCATGGAGGAATGTTTTTATTCCTCCATGCTTACACTTGCGTGTATTTTATCGGGAGAGGTAACGAATGTGAGTGAAACAAATAACAAATAGGGCCTATGAATAATGAAATTACTAGCTGGCCTAATTTGTAAGAACTAAGAACATGAAATGTCATCATGACAAAACCTAAGCTAAGCATCTTAAGGCTTATCAGATGAAACATAGGGGGCGTTTGAGTAGCTTACCCGGATCGACTCGGGTTAGTCCCGTATCGACTCGGGTTAGTCCCGTATCGACTCGGGTTATACGTTACTCCCGTATCGTTCGATTAGCTCTGACGTCATTTTCGGGGCTCAACCGGGTCAGCCACCACCACTGGTCAGTATAATCGAGATCAGGGGCCACCACCCTGCTCGTGGAGCAGATCAGAGTCAGTGGTGGAAATACGTCAGAAGGATGCGTTGTTCATCCCTTGCGACCGTACCGTAAATCTGAAGTGGAGCGAAACATCAACTTTATTTGAAGTCAGGTACTAATTTATTGCGTTCATTGCGACTTCTGAGTTTTAAGTTTTGCAATTGACTGAAAAAAAACCCAGTAAATCTCAAACTAAGACCGGCCACGGGCGTCACCGTGAGGATCGTGATGGCCCGCGGTTACTTTAGCGTTCGATTCTAGCGTGGCCAGCACGTCTGCTTTTCTTTACCCGAGTCGATCCGGGTGAGCTACTCGAACGCACCGATGTCAAGAGGGCGCTGTACCATTCGTACGGTAGCCACACCAGCACATACACCGCGGGTACCGACGATAGAAAGACGTTAGCTTCCGAAATATAAGTGATGACTGTTCTTTTCCTACTCCCGTTCGCTCGTACCCTTTGGGCGGTGGCTTCGAGCGAACTATGCACGAAACTATCCTTGAGAGCTTAAATATTGAAATTTGGAACACGCAAGTGATCAAGGGCCATTTTTAATATCGCCCCAACCCGCCCCGCCCTCTCCTGACCTTTGATTGATCAATCTGGAAGAATGTAGGGTTTTGCTCTCCCATCTCATATTTTCTTGTGGCGTTCCATAAACTGTAATAGTGTTCCTCATCAATTAAATATAGCCCTTTATTCTAATTACAAAATAATTGAAAAAAAAATAGAAATACAAAATTGCCCCCTCTGAAAGATTAAACTATAACAAAATAAAGCTATATACCAAGACACACAAATATGGAGACTAGTCAAACTGACTTGCCTGTCGCAATCTGGCGGCAAAAGTCTACAATTTTATTAAGATACAGTAAAATACAAAGTGGTGTGTGTGCTGCACAGTTTTATAATCAGTGGCACTTTAAAAAACAAAGAAACAACAATCAAGAATGAAAATATAAGGTCTATTTTACATCTAGGAAGAATAAGATAAAATGATTAAGCGACAAAGTCTGATGCCAAACATCGTTTACACTCCATCATTTACAATTTTAGAAGTTTTTTTTCTTCTTTTGAGAACAGCTGGCTTTCAACAGACTGGTTTCTCTGGAAAAATTCTCACAAAAAAAATTATTAACAGATAAACTTCCATTTTAGACTGGCAACCTCAGCAAAACTCTGGAAAAAAAAAATCTTTTGATGATGCCGAGACAGAAATTTGAGGCTTAAAGGAAGCAAACAACCCTTTCTCCTCGAATGTTCAATTGTGAACATTTTGTCAATATGATTTAGTTTTAACATTAATGCCCTTCACATGCAATGCCACAATCTTGTTCCTCACGACAACCAATCTAAAGCACAATACTCTGGTTGGCATGGTAACACAGGCCATGGCAACGTTCAGCTTCCCAATTTGTTCTCGTTACCTACAGGGGACCAGTTTTAAGTCCGTGATTCACCCGCTAAATGGGAAACTTGCAATCAAATCGCAGCATCCAAAACCCGCTTCAAATCATCATGGTGTGATCTTTTTTGGTTGCATGCGCCAACAACCAAATAATAGAAATACTCAGATGTCAAATCTCTCTCCTCTTTTTTTGCCAGATTACAGCATAGATCTGTCAAATCGATTTCAAGCCTTTACACTTTCTGTTTGGTGAGCTAAAGAATGGCCATGACAAGGTGATATATCAGCTCAAAGACGTCATTTGCACATTGATTTACCACTGTCTAATTGAGGCAATCCCCTAGTTTGAGGATCAGACAATCACGTGTGCAGAGCCAAACTAGGAACATCGTCTGGTATATCCCAACATGCACATTTTATGTGACTCCGCGTGCCAGCCCAATCGGAGCCAACTTTAGAAACTGGACTCAGCAGTTGATTGGTCAATGGGAGACTTTTGAGACGTTGGTGGCAGCAAACATAATGGTCCTTTTTCCATTGTTCGCGTCATATTGAGCATGCGCCCTTTAGCTTAAACACGACGTGAACAATTGAAAAGGACCGGTGTGTTTGCTGCCACCAACATCTCAAAAGTCTCCCATTTGGCTGCATGTTACAGAAGACCCGATAGAAGGTGCCCCCTGAATGGTCAGAATCTGGAGGTCAAGACGCAGTCTTGTTTTGCGTAATTAATCGCCGAAACTGCGCGAATACCATAGACGCTTGTGTGCAAGTGGCTATTCCATTGAATACCCCCTGCCCACATTTAAAAGATATATGCAACAATTGGGTATAAATAATGAAAGGTTTGCGGAAACACCATGTGCGAATAATTTCTCAACTAAGAGAATGGTTCTGAAAAGAACCAGAGGCACATGGTGTTTCCGCAAACCTTTCATTATTTAGTATCTACACCATGCAAAGCCTCAAATCTTACTTAATTGGGTATAAGAAACTGGACTGTGCAAAATGCATGTAAAAAAAGAAAGAAAGAAAAAAGCACTTCCGATTAAATCAGTCGAAAGTCATATTCTGACCATATGAGCATTCAAAAGTGTGTATGAAACTAAGAACTAAAAAAAATTCCAAAATATAAAACAATATCTGTATGATTCCATTTGCACCTTAAAAGCTCTACTTTGGCATATTTTGGGAGATTGAAACTAAAGTTGTCTAAGCTTGTAGCACACAAGCCTATAGGTACCATGACTTTTTGTATAAACCTCTTGTTTGGTATACTAGCACGCAAGGAGCTGAGTTACTCAACTTTGAGAAAGTTTCTGATGTCAAGATTTGTGCATTTGAATTTGCTCTTGAAAATTCCTCTTGAAGTCAGTATTATTTCACTGTTTAGGGATTTTTATAATCACTGAAAAAAACCTCTCTTAACTCTTTGGTGCACAGATTTTTTGGATTAGGTAAATTATAAAGTTTCTTTAGCGACCTCCCCCCTGCACCAAAGGGTTAAACTATGGTCAAATTAGTCTCTGAACACTTCCCAAAGTCATATTAATGCTTTATGGTCTAAATTCCCTTGAAAAATGAAGAAAGCTGGCCTAGATGGTGAAGTGATAGAGCCAAAGCTCACAGTCGGCATATGATACATCTTAAAAAGTACTTGATTGATTTGAATTGTTGCACTTTGTTCAATAAAAATCACCAGCATCCCATTCTGATAGCGGATACAATGCCTTGCCCATATGTCTAAAATATCCACGTGTGCCTCCGTCTGATCAAAAGATGAGACAATATATCAAATACATGTCTTCTTGCTATATACAAAACGTCCTCAAACATCAATTTTCCTTGCTCTAACGGCAAAAAGTTTCCAGAAAACTTGACATCAACATCTTAAAAAAAAAGACCAATGCAAGGTTTCTCATATAAAAAAGTTATTAACAACGCTTGTCATCGTCTCAAGATGTCCTCTCTGCTTTCCTCTTCTTAAAACGAAGAGGCTCGGCCTCCACAAAAGTGAGACTCCAACAGTTCTTTGCCTCGAGAGATTAACTCTAGTATTCCACAATCTTGGCATCAAGTATTCCAGAACCCACGCAATGGGACGGAGCTTCGTTCCACAACAGTTGACGGGCGGGAAGAGAAATCACTCTTTGGTCACAGACTCTTTGGTTGATGGAGCAATGGATGCTATTAAACATGGCGGCAGAGAATACCTTGGTCGCACGATTTGAGGGCGCCTCATTCCCTGGAACAAAAATATCAAAAGATTTGCTTTTATCAGGAAGCCGGCTAACTATAAACAGCACAACTGGTTTCTTACTTCAGGTGTCAACAACAGTTTGTTTTAAGATGATAAAATCTCCGAAGGTTAAGAAATAAAATGAGCATGAATAATCCTGTCAATTTTACGGACACTGTGGACCATCTGAAGTTGTCAAAGAGTCCCACCCTCCACCTTTGGTTTGTGTACATTTCTCACACTGCTTCTGACCGAGTTTGAATGAGCTGCCCCCTGGCCACTTGACTAATAATCGTGATCTAATGGTTAATGTGCACTGATGGATTGACAGGCAGGACAGGTGCATGCAATAGTTGGTATGGACTCTCTGCAGAATATTGTCTGGCAAATCCAACATGTTTAGAATAGTCTCTGACTCTATCCAGGAGTCAAACGTCTATTCACAACTGGACTCCAATATTTCTCCTGCGATTAGACTGTACAGCTACTGAAATGGCACAATGGTTTTCCATTTACCTTCGGACAGCATACGGGTTGACGCCTTGGGCAGCTGCTGCTGCTGCTGCTGCTTGCTGGTGACTAGCAAGAACTACGAGGAACAAAACAAAACAAAACAATTTTGGTATGAATTAACGAGTGTGCTGGATGTGTCTGCCAAAAGCACCTATTAAGAACAATGGAATTAGGCGAGTCAAGTCACCAGACTCTCAACATATACAACCGTGGGTACATGCAGTTAAAACAGAATGACAACTGTTCTACTATTGGTGGTGCTTTTAATGGGCGATGCGCTTAGCCAAATACTGAACGGCTTTGTTTATGTTTTTCTTTGCTTTTATTCAACTAAAAATGCAAAATTTGAGTACTCCCCTCTCACTTAGTAATACCGCTAGGGTGTGTGCCACGGCAAAAAGTGGACAAAAGCATGAAGAAGCAAATATGTTTTGCTGTCGCTTAACCCAAAACACATTATAATAAGAACAATATTACATCTGATTTTTAAACAAGGCACAACCAAAGTTACCTGTGATTATTTAAAGAGAAAAATTGTGTTTATCAACAGGGAAAAGTAGAGCAGCTCTTACCGTAAGGATCGTAGGGTTGCAAGACCGGATAGCCCATGCCTAGATGCGTGTGTTGGTGTGTGTGCATATGCTGATGCAGTAGATGAGATGGGATTTGTGGGCCGTGTCTTCGGGATGAGTCGTACCTGGGAGAATCCTCACGAGATGTAGGTGTCACCGGGGTCTTCCTCTCAGCAGGAGATGCCGGTGGATGCGGGGAGGAGGATGGTCTTCTCTCCCTCTCCGGTTCTGGGGACCGTGACCTCTCGTTCTTATGAGAGCTGAAGTATTGGTTGGCATGTTGTTGTAAAACGTCCAGAGCTTTGGTTGGCCGCTCTCGAGAGGACTCTCTACTTTTGCTCCCAGAGCTATGAGGGGATGTTGCGCCCGACTGTTCACGGTCCATTTCATAGCGACCTCGCTCCTCCGGTGACTTCCACATTGGACTGATCATGCGTGGCCCCTGCGGTGGTGGGTAGTGCAACTCGTGCGGGATGTAGGGATAAGCGACCATGGGGTTAACTGCCTGGTAGGCAGGATGGCCAGGATCAAAGGGCATTGGTCCAAATGGAGTCTGCACATAGGGAGGTTGGAGATATGCCGGATACGTGTCTAGGACTCTTCTGGAGGGAGGTATCAATCCTCTGGGTGGACCCTTATCATGGGGGGATTGACTTTTGCTTGGCTGTGGAGAGTCTCTGTGCTTCTTGTCATCACTTGATGATTTAGAAGATGAGGTTGTGTTGCCCTGCTCCTTGGATGACTCTTGACGCGGGGAGCTGGTAGGTCTCCTAGAGCGCTCGTGCTCTTGCTGGCGGTCTTCTGCTGTTCTTTGACTCTCTCTCCGTGATTCGCTGGACTCGGACCTTCGGCGCTCCTCTTGTTTGGCTTTCCGGTTATCTTCCTCCTGGCGCTGCAACTCTCTCTGTTTATGATCATACAGAGAGTACAGCCTCATCTCCTCTCGCTGCTGTTCCTGCAAAGTGCGAGCTGCTTCTGAGGATTTTGGCACGCCAAGCGGAGCGGTGACATCAGGACTCTTGGATCCCGGCTTGTGAAAATCAAGTTGCTTACCATGGATTGTCTCAGGAGGTTCCCGGTCCCCTTTTCTCTTTAAAAGTTGAGGGTCTTTATCAGGTCTTATTCCCTTACTTGTGTCAGATACTGAGTCCCTTTTGGTAGGAGTGACAGGTTCTGTTTTGATCTTAGGGATAGGTCTATCCCTCAGATCAGAACTCTCAGAAGCTTTGTCCTTGCCAGGCTCCTGGTCTCTTTTCTCCCTCTCAAGTCTCTCTGCCTCGGCACGTTTGCGTTGCTCCCCCATAAATTGTTCATGTTGCTGTCTATAATGAGGATCGGTGGATATAAGCCGCTGGTGATATGATGGGTCCATTGTTACGTAGCCTGGTAAGAAGGGATACTGGCCACCATAGACAGCACCTGGAGGAGCCTGAGGTCTGTAGCCAGTCTCAGTTGGAAGAGCCTGAGGCCTATAGCCAGTCTCAGTTGATGGGCTCGGAGAGTCTTTCCTGGCCTTCTTGGGCTCAGGTCCTTCTTTGCAAGGTTCTCTGCCCGGCTCTGATTTCAAGGGCTGGGTGGGAGTCGCTCGCACAGACTCCATAGATTTGGCCACAGATTCTGTGCTGACTCCTCGCTCTCGTGCTACCTCCGTTAATGGTGAAAACATCGGTACACTTAATGGTTCTACTCTCTCAAGTCTTCGCAAATCCTCTGGGACTTGCTTGCTTCCCTGGGAGGATCTGCCAACAGGTGTATCGTGAAAAGCGTAAGGATCTCTTTCCTCTCTAGGTTTTGTGGGTCCTACTGGAGCCTCGTCATTGGCGTCTGATATATCGGAATATGCTGGGCTGCCCGCCCTTATATCCTCTGTGTTTGGGGGAACCACTAGGGTCGGCACAGGATGTTCTGAGGGCAAGCTGTTGGATTTTGTTTGAGCGGGAGCTGGGAGTCCTTGGTATTCCTTTTTCATGGTCTCTGGGGAAGACGGGATGATTGGTTTAGTTGGTGGGGGTGGTGGAGGCTGCTGTTGCTGCTGCTGCTGCTGTTGTTGTGATGGCATTGGTCCATGATGCGGAGGCCGGTTTACCGAGTTCATAATACTACTGGTGGGGATAAGCTTCGGCATTTCGGGCATGCTTGGGTTCACAATCGGTCTGCTGGGGATTAAAGATGGTAGTTCCTTTGGGGCATCCTTTGGCGGTTGCTCTGATGCTTTGGTTTGGCTCTCAGGATTACTCCCTGGAACATAAGGAGAGTTCCTACCAGCATCCTCAGGACCGATGCCCGATGCTGTCAACGCCTGTTTGAGAATGTTGTTCTCCAAAGCAGCTGCTGGTGATGATTCAGGGAGTTGATCTGGTCGAATGGTAGGGGGACTCTCTTTGGGTTTCCCCTCCTTCTGCTTAGTGATGTCCTTAGGGTCCCCCTTGGTCCCATCCTTTGGGGTGCTCCCAGCCACATGCTTTTCTTTGTCAGTCTTGGACTTCTTCTTGGGTTTGGACTTCTTTTCTTTTAGAGTTGCGAGAGAGGCATTAACAGCGGGGTTATCTGCCACGGCTGGCTTTGGTTGGATGGGTTTCAATGTTGCTCCCGTGCTGGGAGATGACCCTGCAGGTTTTGTTGTTACTGTTGGTATTGTGAGAGGTGTGGGCGTTGGTCCGCTGCTTGTAGTGACAATAGTTGGTATTGCAATGAGTTGTGGAGGTTGAGGGTGAGGAGGAGCTGGGGCAATTGGTCGAGCTGATTTCGGCTTCTGGACTAATTTGTCCTGTTTTGGTTTCTTCTTCTCAGACCCTCCCTTTGCTTTGTCCTTGTCTTTGCTCTTTGAGTGTTTCTGAGCATCCTCACTGCTGGGTGCTGACGACATCTTTGGCGTATCAGGAGTCTTGGGGATATTTGTTGGCGGTGGGCTGAGAGGTTCTGTTTTAATGACTATCTGCTCTGGGTTGGAGCGGATGACACTCACGCTGGTCTGCTTCTCCCCAGAGCTGCTGTTAGTCTTTTTGGTGTGATCATCAGCCTCTGCTGTCGAGTTGAAATCAAAGACAGACATGTCCTTTTGATTGCTGCTGGGGTTGCTAGTGTTCTGACTCGCAGGTTTCTTGTGCTTGCTGGGTTTGTCACTGGAGTGAGAGTCAGGCTTAGTTTTGACAGCATTGACTGCATCTTTGGCTTTGTTGGCACCATGGAGAATCTTGCTAGGACTGGTTTTATCATTTGGACTTTTATGCTGCCCGCCTTTGGGGCTGCGAGTTACATCTACCCGTCCTTTAGTCACTTCCTTAGTGTTAGGGTCTTTGCACACATCAGTTGATGTGCTTCCAGTGGGTAAACAAGGTGGTATACTGTCGTCCCGTTTCTCTGGAGTCATTGCGGGAGCTGTTTTAATGTCTTTTAATTTCTCCACAGAGCTGCCAGCCCCCTTTGCTGGACTGACATTGCTAGGGACAGACCCTGTTGCAGAAGCCTCAGAAGGTACGGCAGTCTTGTCCCTCTTGGAGGGACTGAAATCAGAGGCTGCCTCCACCACAGCTTTAGGAGTTTCCGGTTGATCTGCTTCATCAGGGGTAATCAGCTCCTGCCTCGGAAGGTCCTGATGGGCATGTGTCTGGTGGTATCTCAAACCATTGATGTGTTTGTACTTCTTATTGCAATTTGGTTCTGGGCACTCAATGAACACAGGCGAAGTAGCACCCTCGGAGGAGTTGGGAGTCGGCGTATTTCGTGCAGTTTTCAACCTCTTGGATGCCTTATTGTTATCCTCCCCAGAGCTAAGGTCTATGTCGGTGGGGCGTATCTTCCGTTTGCCCTGGGCTCGGTCGATGGCGTTGGGAGGCGTGCGGCTGCCGTTGGAGGCACCGCTGCCGCGCCGGCTCTTGATGGTGGTTGAGTTGCGGAGCTTGCTGTGGATGGAAGAACGCGTCTCGGTGAAGTTGCTGAGGTCACTGTTTGTTGTGGAAGAGCTGTTGCGCCCTCGCTTGGGCCGGCCCGGTGTCTTGGCATTCCGGATCTCCATGTCACTAGTAGGAGAATCGCAAAACCTACAAAAGAGGGGGTAAGAGAGAAAAAAACTCTATTTTTATTTTATTACATATCACAAGATCAATTTTTGTATCAGGAAACAGTGAAAATAGCACTGTAAACAAGCAAATTTGTGTTATTCACAGGATAATATTTTGAGTAAAAAACAAATAAAATTGATAATTCACTCTTAAAAATTAAGCTGATTAAACTCTGTAAGTAGTGGTCAAGATATAATGACCAATATATATTCATGTAGCAGTTTTCTTATTTCCAAAAGAAAATACTGATTGGCCCAGAATAAGATTGCACTTTGGCGTAACGTTTTGGCATTTGTTTTTGATACTCTGCCTTTTTACTTAAAAAAAACCCACAAAAAACAACAACAACTACAACGTAAAATGAAGACTTTTGCTTACCTCGGTGGAGCCCAGTCATGTTTGGTGCAGTCAAGGAGCGTGCCCACGTAGGTCTTGTTCCTCCAAGTCACATTCACAACAAGAACACCTACAGGGGTTAGAAGACATCACCGAAATTAACAACGTTGATTAAACTGACCTAATTTTCAGTTCACTCTATACCTTAATCTCAGCAGACAAAAAATTGGCTATGGTGAGAACAACCACTGAACTCCAAGAAGCTGAGCAGTGAACGCCTATCCTCATTCCATTCAGTCAGGTATCCAAGTTTACCTCAAACGGCAGTTCATACTTCATGTGAATGCAATGCCAATTTGAAGTCATGAAGCATTCGCTGCAACATTCGCCAGAGTTAAAATGTGCTCAACTTTTGCGACTTTGCAGTGCGAAAACCTGCACTGACATCATAAATTCACGTTCGCGTATGAACCATTCATATTTGCGTATGAACCAGCATTCATGCAGGCAAAAAATGGCTGGCACTTTTCCCACAGTTTATTCGCTGCAATTTCAATTCTTTTTTTCTTCATTTTTTTCATTTTTGTTGTAAATGCTAATAATCTCAGAAAATGTGTTCTTACTTGTAACCAAGTTAACCTTTTCAATTCTTAAACGAAAATCTCTGTGTTAAGCCTTAGCCATTTGATGAATGTAAGGCTTTGTTTAAATTACCTGGCTGTGGCTTACAATTACACATGCCCCTATGGAAGCCGCTGAAGCCACTTCCCATACACCTTATTCACAAGGAAGCCATTTTTGATCAAGTTCCCTGAATGTAGTTTATAACTTGCAAGCTATTGAATGGGATGGTGCCAGACTATTTATGCGTTCAAAGCCTCACTTTCCATTTGTTTGTTTTAATGTGGCTTAAAACATTAGTGTATGTTCAATCACAAATTTTTTATTACTCATCAGAGCAGACTGGTTTTGATTTGTAATTAACTTTATTTCATTGCTTTCATTTCTATTCGCAAGTTCCAAAATGAATATTTTACCTTGCTTTCAATTTAATATGGCCGACTCATGAACAAAGCCTATAGATACAGTTATTACTACCGGCTTCAGCCAAGAAAATTATGACGTGGCTGAAGCCAATTTTTCTTGCTCACCTTGGTCCGTCTCATGCCACACAATGCCCTCCAAGTTGACCGAGGTTCCTGGCTCGCAGGGCCCAAGACAGTCTGGATCCGTCAGTGTGGACATGTCGGAGGTGTCTATCGCTACAGAATGAGTGGTGACCTGAGAAACGAAAGGCAGGGAAAAGAAAACAAGAGAGAGAATACAGAGATAAGTTTCAAATGGGTATGACATCAGTGGGCATTTTTCTTTTTGGTTACAAAAGTTGAAAGATTCTGCATCGAGAAAAAAATATACAATTTTGTAACAGATGAATAGAAATTGACTGAAGCGGGTTCGAATATGTGACCTCCGGATTGCTCTTCCAGTGCTCAACCAACTGAGCTATCCAGCATATATGTTGGCAGTTCCCATTTTATCAAAGTAACCCCCAAAACAACTGTTTGAGTTAATATTGTCTCCCCCCCCCTTCACAAGCATATTTTTTTTATAAACACTGTATATTCAGTGCTGTCCGAAGTGAGTGCGAGAAAGAAAAAAAAATTACCAACATTAAATTTACATCACCCGAGGCAAATTCCATCTTAATAGGAGTCTGAGTTCATCTTATATGAGATTAGCATTTAAGTATTCAAGAATTTGCGAAAGCACATGTCAATCTCAATCCCCCTGTTTTAGACATACATTGACTGGGCAGCCAGTCTGTGAGCTCAAGTTATGAACCAACTTTTACAAAGAGCTTGAGGGTTATATTTTCAACAGACCTCTAAACTGGTAGAGCGCCCTCGTGTGTCAGAAAACTGCATGGACAATGTCCGTGACAAAATCACATCAACAGATGCTTTATTTTTTCCATTTAATTCAGGAAATGGGTATTCACTGAAGTTTGATCCAGCCTATATTCATAAGTGCACCCTTTAAAAGGCACTTGAACATGAAATTTCAAGAATGTAAATGCACCGAGCACTAACATTTGCAACAGAAAAAGAATGACTTTGTGCATGGTCTTTGTGTACAAAGCAATAGAAACGTGTTGACTGACAGACAATACATGTAGGTACATGTAGGTCTGTATAAAACCGCAGTTCAAATGTGTGAGTAAAATATGTACCCATTTTGTATCCAACTACATCCTTGATGGCTTCCAGAGTGGCACATGACCTTTCAACCTTTACCCCAATGAGTACACTGTTCACTGTGCCCAGTGCTTATCCAGCAGATATTCCCACTTGTGCCAGGCTCTGTAACCACAGACCCCAGACTTGCCAGAAGGGATCAATGCTGGCACTTTTTGAAGGAGAGTCTGTAAGCAGTCAAGCCCAGGGAGCTGAGGCATTTACAATTGCAGACCCCCAAAAATGGTTCATGGCTTATTGAACAGGAAAGTATCATTACATGTGAATCATTTTGGCATGTGGAAATGCAGAAAGCAATCAGCCAGTTTGGTTTATGAAGGACGATTCCGAAGATTTGACTTTCGGATAAGCAGTCAGAAGATAAATGTATGTGGGTTATTGTATAGTTTTAGGATCAAAATGTGTCATTTTTCCTGTCCCTGGTTTGGGAGACGAAGGCATTAAAGGTAATATATAACATTTGCTTTTGCTGTAATTTTCAGCAATGGACGAATTTGGGGGTTAGTATTTTATAGCAAATACATGTATTTTAATTAAATTAGGTTTTTTCCTTTCAACGACGTGGGCAAAAAACCTAATTTGATTTACAACACCCCGACGTAAATTTCATCTTATAAATACCTGTATTGTTACACTGACTTGTTGAAAGTTTTGTGTTCAAGGATGCTGGAAAAACAAGAAGAAAATGCTGTTCTTGTTGAAGTCTGGTTCCCTGACGGTGACCCTACTTTAGATGAAATGGAGGAACTCATACGGTAGACATCAGGGAATTGTCAGGTCAGGGAACTAGACTACCTGGCTTGTACCCGTTCACAGAGGTGTAACCGATTGCAAACAAAATGTAGACTAACTAAATTTAGTGAATTGAGGTCATTATTTGAAAAAAGTCAGTTTTTTTTCTTGAAAATGACAGCATACCAGGTGTCATGATTTCACAGGATGCTTGAGACTATTATTCACTTACAGTCAAGTAAGTTATTTCATAGTAATTTGGTAGTTTCGTTTTTTAATGTTTGCAAATGTTGTACAATACCTTTAAAGATGCATCCAGAATTTACAAAATCGTACATGTCAGATGTTACAGGGACTGGAAAAAAACATTTTATAGAATGTCTACATTTATAAAATGAACCCACCTCCATGCGGAAAATTAGTAAAAATACATAACCTAATTTCAAAAAATGTGCATTTTAATCAAATAGAAACAGACAGAATGAAGAACTCCTACGATTTTTTTTCTTTGATAGTCCTGCGTTAACAAGGTTTCAGTTTGTGTACATTCATGTGCTGCACAGATGGTGTTCAGTAATATGTGCATGTCCATGTTCCCAGCCTAATAAATCTAGTCCAAATTTGCTCTGGGGATGCAGGAGGTGTGAATGGGAAAGAAAACTACATGAATGTATCAGGTGCATGACTTTAGAATGAATGGACATCAACTTCCGCTTTTTTTTAACAACTTCCTTCCAGAGCCATTCCGGGATTATGTCTGATCCGGTAGCTCGGGGGTATCTGTTAAGCGATTACAGACCGTGTCCCGTTCTGTGCTTAAGGGGAACCCTTCGGAGAACGGCTGAGAAAGAAAGGGGGTAAAAACGATAAGAAACACGGAGAGGCGGAAGTGACTGTAGAACCAGGAAATACTCCACACCATGTCTGGTGTGAAGCCTGAAGGGATTGAGTAGAAGTTGTGGACAGCTTGCTCAGTTTGCCCCCTCCCCTCCTGAACTTCCACCCCACCCCCTACCAAACTTGACTAGTCAATGGGAAGTCACTTATCAACCCAGAAGGACCTAGGTATACATTTGTTGGCCATTCTTGTGGGTAAGGATCGGGCCACGGACGGAGGATGACTCCCTTCCTGGGCTGGCGCCAAGACTCTTCCCCACATTATGTGAATCTATTTTTGCAATTGCTGCTTCGAACCTGTTGTTTTTTTTCTTTCATACTTTGCCCTTTTAATACAAATTCTGAGGCCGGGTTTTTCTTTTTCCCAAGAGGCTTAAAAGTCTGTCTGCTGTGATATCAGATGGTTGACTGTGTACTTTAAGTAATGCCTGAAGGGCCATGGTTTTCAGGAACTGTGCGCACATGTTCGACTTTTAGATCCATCATGATTAATCAAGCATTTCACAACTCCAAGTTTGTACGTTAAGAGATCGCTGAAACCTTACTTCACAGATTTTAAACTTGATTTACTTCGGTCGAGTAGGAAAGAGACCTGTAAATCCAGAGGGTTGGAGATTCTAATCAGATGTCGTAAAAAAAAAAAAATTGGGGGAGGGGAAACAAATCAGTTCAAATTGGCTGCAGGCAACAAACTTGTGTGAGCAGTATATGTAGATCTGGATTTCAAATTAGTGTGTATCAAATCCAAAGCATCTGGATCCTAATGTCTGCAAGGCCTACTAGGCTTACTAGTATTTTCTCCTTCAGTAATGGCACCGGACTGGGACAGTATAGGATAGCCATTTAATGGGACAAGACTTTGCTTCCTGCCGACACAACTATTTCATATCAGGAGGGAATTATGACGGAATCTCCCACTCTGATCCTGGCACCTCAATTTAGGTCCAAGCTTCTGATTCATACATGGATTCTTCAAATGACTGGGAAATAGGAGGTGGGTACCATACCGTACAGAACTACATCTGACTTGTTTTCGCGAAATATAATCACAAGGCAGTGATAAAACCTTTTCATTTACACGGGTCAGGCAAACAAAAATCCCTCCCAAATGTGCAAAAATACAGTGTTTTATAGACTAATTGAATGGCTACTTAAACTGTTCATCTATCATGTCGGGTGATAGGTGGTTGTATCAATATTTGTCATCTTCTTGAACTTTACTCCCCGCTCCTTGCTCGGCCCACAACTAGTCACTGATTGTGAATACCCAGGGATCGTTAACATTATTCCATACAAGATTAAACTTGATGAATTGCAACCGGTGTGTTTACAGACTGTCTGCCTGCTTTGCGAGTTCTGTACTTCGTGAACAACGGACCCCGGGTTGCCCTGTGTGTAGTACTTGAAAAGCTTGCTCAATTGGCGCAAAGGAATGCAGGCACCCCGCTAAGGTGCACGCAACAACAACCGACAGAGAGCATCCAGTGCATGTACCTTTTAGGTTGATCATTAATGTTAAGCGTGGAAGAATGTGTGAATGTTATCCTTTCCTGGTTTTGATAATAGTGCAAGGGCAACGTTGACACCGTTCTTGGTTAGTTAATGGGATATTTGTGCTCACGGCTAGCTTCAATTTTAATTTTTAAGTAATACGTACCGGTACTTATGTCTTGCTTAAACTGTTTCTTAAAAGTAGTAATGGAAGACGGTGCTTCACTTTCTTTTCTAATATCTTTGGAAACATTTGTGGAACAAGTGAAGAACTCGCTTCAGCTGTTTATTACTTCTTTTTTTTAACATCATGTAAACAGAAAATTCTTTAAAAAACCCCAAAAAAGTAGAATGCATTAATGGAAAAAATAATCATCTGACCAAATCTGCTTTGAAGACAACAGTAGCCAAGACTAAAAATCTCAGACTATCAACAGATTCTCGACCCCCACTTACCCAACCCAACCAACAGCAGTACATCCAGAATTACCAGAAGGGGCTTGCCCTGTTCCACCCCTAGTGTAATATGAAACCACACATTTCCCCCCTATTCATAACTGCCACATAGAGTCTGCCCAGTGAGATCGGATGGGGAGATGACAGATGCGGAAGGGACCATTGATGGCAAATAGGGGTGGGATCGCCACAACCATGAAATTAGATTTATGACCTGTTATACTAAAGGCTGTTACTCTACTACTTGCCACTGAGAAAAGATTATGGGGAGAGCCTGGTTTGGAGAAAAAAATTAAGTGACTTTAAAAGGGGTAAGAGCAAGGGGTCATGGATTCATTGGAACAGTGAATGACCTTTAACCTTCTGGCGGGAAGGCATATTTTAACTGGGTATTGACCCCCTCGTTAATGGACCTCCCTGCGATTCCCTGCATGCAGAATAAATTTATGTCGGGTATCGTGTTTATTATTGCAAGAGTATCACTACCAGACGTTAAACATTGTTCACTACGTGCAGGGCTGTAACAAGTTTTGTTGGAATCTATCCAAAGCAAAAACTGTCCAAAAATGTTGATAATTTCAAACCTTTTTTAAATTGAGTGACTGTTGGATCATACAGATATTCAATGACTGCAGGGAGAAAAAAAAGAAGCTTTTTTTGAGGGGAGGGGGTGGGCAATTTAAGAGAGCATGGTTCTGGTAACTTCCAATTGTTTTGTTTTGGATTACACCAATTGTAAAAACAGAAATTTTAGCTTAGCTCAAAAACAGAAACCCTGCCTGATATCCTTAGTAAAAAGGGCAAGTCTTCTTCCCTTATTTACACAGATCGTGCCGCACCGCAAGGCTACCGCCAATGCCACAGCTACAAGTATTCTGGCCTCGGGGCAGCCAGAAATCTGCAAACACTTGTATTCTGTGTCACCTAATCAAATCCAACTCATGGACTCTCTCCACAGCCTGCCCAATTACAGGAAAAAGGAAGCGGTTTCAACAACTCCCCGCCGATATGACATCCACCCTGAACTTTGACATCTATAGAAAGGTTTCTTGTTCAGTTATCAGATTTCGGGCCTGATCTTTGGGGATTTTAGGTAATTCTTCCGCAAGAGGTCTCCAAAATTTGAGCAAGAAACACATGAAAATTACAGGTATACATGTATTCCCCTGAGTTTTATTTGTATGACCAAGAGAAAAATAGCCTTTGTGGTGAAAATACTGGTACACAAACAAAGCAACAGTATTTCTTTTTGCTGGAAGAAAATTTAGAAAAAGTCTTTGAAATTGAAAAAAGTAAAGCTTATGAACCTTGCTTTGGGTGGAAATAAATTTTCGATGATGCAGAAATACTCAAAGCGCACAAAAAGCTTTGCCAAAAATAGGTGAATATTTTGGGGAATCTTGTATTATTTAAATTGACAGTAAAGGACAAAGATCCTGATAACCAAAATCCTCACCTTGTCATTTTTGGCCTTCTTCCCGCCATGTTTCTTGGCAACGCCGCCGTGCGATCCCTCCTTCTTGTTATTCGTGTCACCTTTGACCTCTTTCTCCTCTTTCCTCTTCCCATCCTCCTTTGTTTTGTTGTCATCTTCTCGGCTGTCCGCTCTGCCGAGTTTCTTGTCCGAGTCCTTGCCAGTGCTCACAGTGACTTTCATGGGGCTAATGCTGACTGTTGCTCCTTGTGGAAGGACGTGGTTTGTATTGTCCGAGATTTTCGGTTGTTGTGGTTGGGGCGGCGTTGCAACTGGGGCAACCACCATGGAAGTGTTGAGTAGAACGGTGGGGTTGGTTTGGTTGGTTCCCGCAATGGGCACCAGGGACACAGCCGCGGTGGGTCCCTTGGAAGCACTGCTCATGGCAGGGTTACTGAACGCCTTGTCTTGCTTTGTGGCCGAGTCTTTCTTGTGGTGTATGACCACTCGCGGTTTGGCCACGGATTCTGGGCGTTCCGGTGACGCATGATGCGTTGTCGAAACCCCTGCTGTTGTTGTCGTTGGGGTGTCTTCGTTGCTGCTACTGCTGCTGCTCGTGGAGGGGTCCTTACGGGGCGACGACATGGTGGCAGCCTCCCCTTTGGAGCTGCTGACCTTACGCTTGATCTTCATCTTACCGATTCTCAAGGGGCTACAGTCGGCCGAGGGGACATCCTGCCGATCCTTCTCCAGATCAGCGTCCAGGTCAATGATCAGGTTGCCCAGCCCGATCTCCCATTCCTCGCTGCTATCGTACTGTGGCGTGATCTCCTCTTTGGCGTTGGCGGTGGCGGGGTCCGGGCTGATAATGCTAGTGTCCATCTTGGTGCGACATTTAAGGCGCGCTGCCTTGCCCCTCCCCCTCTTGGGTCTCCCTTGAGCTGAGAGGTAGACGCCAAATGGTGACTGCGTTGCCTGCCAGGGTTGAGGGGTTATTGGCGACAAACACCCTCACACAATAGTCAACAACTCACTCAGTCGATCAAGGCGGACTTGTCAGCAAGGTGGTCCCAAGATGGCTTCCAAATGCATTGCCTACTTCAGATCTTTGTCATTCTGCAACAACAAAAAAATCCAAATTGATCAAAAAGAATAAAACCATTGTCACCAGGAACCCTCAGAGTGGCATGATTCAAGTTTTTGTCTTTCTCAAGTCCCTTCGGACTAAATTCATGATCGGTCTTCGTCACGTAGTTTGAGAGTAGAAAAAAACTGCAAAGGAAACTAGAGTCAGAAGCTATTAGAGGCGACTTGTAACTGACGAGTGAGTCTCCCACCTAATACACCTTGGCCAGTTTCTTAACAGCAAACCGGGGTTAAAAGTCAATGACCAGCAAAAATCCTGCAAGCTTTCAGTTCCACCTGGCCATAAAGACAGCCTTAGTTACTGCATCTATAATATAGCCAGAAGCAATACAAGGTCTGAGCAAGACAACCCACCTTACAGTGACAAGTACATGTAAATTCACGTACTGACATTTATGTAAAGGTCTCAATTTAGTCCAACATCCTGTTGGATAAAATGAAACCCAACCCACAAACAATAGTACTGCTGTATACATTCCTGCAAGATAACACCGCTCTGATGATCTGCTTGTCAAACTGTTTATAAATTTACTTGGGGGAGTTTGGTTTTGCAACAGTGTACTCTCTGACCATAGAGCTACAGTAGGTGTTATCTTTTCTCACGCACTGTAGAATGTCAATGTATTGCAAGGGTGTGTTCTGTGCAACATGAAAGAAAGACAGGAACAAGAACACCCCCACATACACGTTTGTTTATGGTGTAAATTGAGGATTTTCTATTGTTCCTCTTCCTTTTTCCTTTGTTTGTTTATACTCAATTTTTTTGCAACAGCTCTCATTGGTTTTGTAAACATTTTCTAATCGAGGTCGTCCTCAATTCGGTTCCTGTCCTCAATTCATTAATAATGTTGCACATGTGTGTCCTCGATTTACACCATGAACCTACTCACACACAACAAAACTATCCTCTTTCCACAACTGACTCATACTTTCAACACAAGGAAATAGGTCTACATTTACAAGTGCTCATTGCAGAGCTGCTAGTTGAGCCTACATGAATTTTGAAAAGGCGTGAACAATCGTTACGGCCTCGGAAGAGTCAAAGGCTGGACACAAACAGCCCTATTAAAAATATCCCTCCATCAACACCGATAGGGTTTCCGACCACAGCGGGATTGGGGCAAGAATTTGCAGGGATGATGAAGTTTCCTTGTGCGCACATAATGAGCTGTTCAGGATCCGAAGAGGGTATGGGACTACTTGCTTGTTATTTATTCAATGGACTGTGAACGGGAGAATCAATCACGGCAGGGGAGAGAAGTGGGGTGGGGGGGGGGGTGGTTATAGGAGGAGATACTACTGTGCCATCAATCAGTATCTAACGTCAAAACCATTTACAAATAATAGTGGCCTTTTCTGAAATGCTAAAAATTGCGAGCAATACAGTATGCACTTTTGAGAGCTCCACTGTTATTTTTGTCCATTCCATTTTGTCCCCGCTTGTTACAAACGGCCATTCAACATATCTTGTCAGATGGGATTTTAATCAAAGGCGGTCGATGACAGTTTTCCCTCCAGCGGGTACAACAATTTGACCTGCGATTATAAAAAAGGATGCTGTGCTAGATTAATTGATTAAGTTGTTTGTACATGTGTTTTTGAAGTTAGGTTTGTGGCTTTCTGTGCTGGGCTTAAAGAAGATTTTTTTTTCAGTCAGGAAGAACTATGACATGGGGGAAGGGAATGCATCTGCAACTATCAGCAAAGTAAAAAATAAAAAACAGAGTCAGTTATGTAAAGTTACCTTTGAAGTATTTCGCATGGTGAAAATTTGCATATAAGATTTTTTTGGTACCACACAAAAGCTGATACGAGCACTTTTCAGAAGCTGCTGTTTACTTTTTTTTTTCATCAACCATCAAAAGTGAAGAGCTGATGAAGGATTTCTTTGGAGATACTGCAGGTCTAATACAGCAACTTCTGATTGAATGATCATTTTCTGAACATCAAAATCTGATCGAAGTAAAGGGTTTCCACAGATATCAAATGTACATGTAGTCACATACAATCTTTCATCCTTTCAAAGTCTGAAAGAATTCTCGGGCTGTGCTGAAAATACTGAAGATGACAAATAACATCCTTGATGTAACTCGGGTAAGTTGCGTGGTGTGACTTTTTGTAGAATGCCACATTTCCGTGGACAGCCACTTCACACGCTTTTCATGAGGAATATTACACCTAATTTGCATCTCTAAAAATCTGCCAAATATCTCCCCCCAAAATATATCGATACATACATGATATTCATAAAAAGTTTTTTTTTATGTCAGTGTTCAAATACTTTCAGATTGATGATTTACAAGTCACAATAACGGAATACTAAATAAAAAAAAGAAAAATGCACAGTACTAAAGAATTTGAGGAGATTAATTCATGTACAGACCACAGAGTTTTCTGTCAAAAAAAGCAGTATAAATAAGCAGATACCATTACTGGCCGAGTCTGTACAAAGGTTGTCTGTCACCGCATGCATGCACAAAGAAGTAAAGCTCATTTTAGAAAAGGCTGGCATTATGTCCATCTTCACACTTAAGAACAACAGATTAATTTTTAATCTTAATCACTTCCAGATAAGAGCATTAAGGTGGTGTGAGTGCACTGTTTAATGCCCACAGGAAGTAAAAGAGCAATTAATATTCTAATAGCCTGGCAGGAAATCAAACTCAAGTGGACGTGTTTGGACAGTTGATGCCTTTAAAGGTAGAGTCCATCATTTGTAATTTGTGCATTTTGTTCGTTTGAAGCAACAAAAGAGTTCAAAATCTAATGAAGGATACTGAACAACTAACCTGATGAAGTTTCAGCTAAGCTTCAGCTGTACATTCCGAGAAAAACAGCATTCTAAGATCTCAATTTCAAATCAAAAGTTACTGAATCATGTTTTGAATTGTTTTGAATTGCAACTATACGCTACGTCGCGCACTGATCCGACGAATTATAACAACCGCGCGCGCGTGTGCGTCGTTCGAATGCTTGTGCGCGCTTCGCTGAATAACAAAACGAACTACTAATTTAAATTTTCCTACGGTGCTTCTTAAGAATCACCGTTGGAAATGCCTTCTTTCGTTGATTACTTCAAAATGACAGCTTCCCAGAAAGAATAATTTCACAGGGAGTTTAGTCTCCTTACTATCTTTCAACTAAGTTAGTTTTTCAACAATAATTACGCCAGTTACTTTTCGGATGGCTGCAAATGATGGACTCTACCTTTAAACAAAATGATCTCTGATTCGGCAGAATGCACAAACATGTGGGATAAGGGCTGTGTCATATATGAATGCAGGTCAGTGAATAAGCCTGAAATTGCCTACATCGGCCAAATCAGGATTTGCAATTTGCATGCCCTCAACATTTTGTTATTAGAGCATTTTATGGGCCATGAACTTGAGGGTTTGTAAAAAAAGACGGGTAGAAACCGTGAACAGGACTGCGAGCTCGTAATTCTGTGAAATGCTGAAGAAATTGGGCCCTAAAATTGCTGTATTTTGCAATGTAGCGCAGGCATCATTTTTCAAAATGGCGATGGGCTTAAGGACTCCTTTTAGGGGTGATCATCTTTGGATAGAATTTTCTTCCAAAAATTGTACAGAAACTGAAAGATGTGTGTCTCAAACACATTGGAGAGTTGTGAGTATTTTTTTCGAAATTTCGGAAGTTGGCATGTTTTATCACTGGGGTCTATGGCATTGGCAGTCTATTAACTAGCCTGCAACCATACACCCACTGTTCATCAACTGAACATCCAGATAGGATTTTTCTTGATTCAAATGTTCGAAAAATGGGAGCGGTCTCTAGGAGATGATGAAAAACGTATAAGTTGTCTGATTTGAGAGCTAATTCCATGAGAAACATAAACTCAACTTTCTTCTTTAAAATTGGCTATAATATTATCAGCCATTCCTCTACCCGTTCTTAAAGCTCTTTGTTGATTTTGGCAGACGCGCCCACAAATCCCGGTCAGTGACCAGTTTACATGTAGGCTGGCACATGTTTAACTGTATCAATGCATTTCAACATCAAATGAGAAATGCTTAGACAAATTTCTTGTCTCTCCATAGACTTTGTACACAACCATTGAAATGGCGTCTGGATATTACAATGTATTACTTCCAATATTGCTAGGGATTTATTGGAGTCAACAAAGAAATGCAACATCTTGCAGTTTCCATAAAACAAGGACATGAAAAACAACCAATGAAAACGAAACAAATACCAGAATTTCTTATGAAAGAGAAAACTAAATGAAGTTTTAAAGTAATTTCCAAAACTTCAGCCTACCTAAAAATATACTTTCCAAACATTATCCAACAATGTACAATAAAAAATCACACCTGGTGATTATACAGAGACATGTATCATTTCCTATGTACTTTGGTGTACTCCTCTATAGTTCACATTAGCTATATTATCACATTCCCAAGTGATGCCACCATGCTAGGAATGCACTTTGGATCTCCAGTGCCTTGTAATTTCAACCAGCTTATTACAACAACAACCGCCCAAGCCATCCAGCTGATAACAGCCAGGCAAAAACAGTAACCAGCTAATCAAGGATGGGTGTGATATTTTAGCACAGGATGTGGCTGTTCCATCCCATTTCACAGTTGACTGACAGATGAGTGGCTTTAAAGGGCAGTCATGTTTTTTTTCCCCTCTCTGTCGGACCCTGCCACTGTTCAACATGCTGGCTCCTCACCGAACGTGACAGCAACTTGCCTCTGTGACTCGAGCGTGGCAATAGTTGGGTTTGAGTCATAATCCCTGGTTGAATGGAATAACATGCCATACTTTTGCTAACAGTTACTATTAAAGGTACATATACTGTACAGAAAACAATGCATTTTTTTATTGCAAAGTAAGCTTTGCTGTACATAAAAATGGAATCCATCTCTCAGTCTCACCATGGAGCTAGGCTAGCTCCATGGTCTCACTAAGTGACAAGTATCAATGCCAAAACATGGTCTAAACAACACCGGCTTAATTGTATTTACTGATAACCATGAAGCCTAAATGTTATTTTTGTACATACAGGATTGAGGGTAAACAAAGGCAATAGTTACCTTCATGTACATGGTGCTTTATGCAGAGTCTTTGTATATTAAGTTAGGATGAACACGTTTCAGGGGGCTTTAAAGATTTTTCTTCACTTTTTTGTTGTTGAACATTTGAACCAGGTTGCAGTAAATTTAACTTTTGCTTTTTAAATGCGAATAAAGATTTATAACAGGAAATAGTACAATGACAGTGCAGGCTGAAATTTAAGAAAAGAATTTAACTAAGTGAAAAGAAGCATTCCTAATCATGCTGATTCCGCTTTGGCTGTCATTATTGAGAAAGACAGAGTCTTTTGTAAATGCACATAATTCACGATGGAATACTCAGACAATAGCAAGATTGTGTTACCTATTCCCTTCTCTGGTTAGTGTAATCTGATACAAGACTCTATTGCCACATGCTGAACGTGCCAGGAACAGAGATCAACCAGTCAATATCCTTCTGACAACACAAATCTTTCTGTGACATTGCTGGTGGTTGTTTCACCTTGGCGGTCAACAGTGCAAGTCAAAAAAGGTCAAAAGAAATTCCTTGGCGTAAAGCCTCATTCAAGGATGAGGGAAATCCTGTGTGTGAACTAACACAGCACTGCAACCTGGTACTGATTACATACATTGTAATTTGTATGAAGTTAGGACAATTCCTGGCTTGTTTGAAACTCACTCAAGCATGTTCATCTGGTCTGTACAATGTACTGGTAGTGCCAAAACAGTGTACATGACTGAGTCTGGTACAAATTTCTTAGTGTGTGACACATATGCTTTAATTTGTCAATAAGATTACCATTTCAGAGTTTTGGTGAAAGAAAATAAGTCACAGTATCTTTAAAGGTAATATACAACATTTTCTTTTGCTGTAACTTTCAGAAAATGGATGGATTTGGGGATTAGTATTTTACAGCAAATATTGTTACACTAACTGTTAGCGTTTAAAAATATGCTGTTCTTGTAGTCTGGCTCCCTGACCTTTAATACTCCAGACGAAATGGATCAATTTATAGACATCGGGGAATTGTCAGGTATAAGGGAACCTGACTAACTGGCTTGCACCTGTTCACGGATGTGTAACCGATTGCAAACTGTGGACTTACTAAATTTGGTAAATTGGGAGCAGTATTTGAAAAAAAGTCAGACGACCATCGTTGGAAATTGACACAAAAATGCCACTTTTTTTGAAAATGACAGCACACCAGTTGCCATGATTTTACAGGATGCTTGAGATTATTAATCACCTTCACTTCAGTCAAGTAAGGTATTTCATAATAATTTGGTAGTTTTTTGTGATGTTTGCAAATGCTGTTGTATACTACCTTAACCCTAAAGGGGCCGGGTTATTTTGACCATCTCTCAGCCGGGGGGGGGCGGATTCCGCCCCCCCCCTAAGATCTCGGCCATCGAGTGACGAAAAATTTTGAAACTCAGCACATGCATAGAGCAACTCTTCCTTAACATGCCCAAGAAATTTCATGACTATAGGTCAAAGGGTTTTGGAATTATGGCTAATTAATTATTCATATGTATGAATGGCAATTCTGCTCGGTGTACACGACGTATATGCGAAAATTCAGTTTTCACGGCGCGTAGCGCCGGAAAATTTTTCGCTACGTGCCAACCCGTGGTCCGATTTTTATGTTTTTGGTATCAAAAGATGCGTAAAGCTCGAGGCTAAAAAGTCATAACAGCTCGGGTTGCGAAAAAAATTTTTTTAGAAGCTATCGCGGAAAATGTTGAGGGGGGGGCGGATTCCGCCCCCCCCCGGCCCTTTTAGGGTTAAAGGGAATATACAACATTTGCAAACATCGAAAAATAAAACTACCAAGTTTTTACGAAATACCTTGCTAGGATGTTGGTAAATGACAGTCTAAAGCATCCTGTAAAATTATGGCACCTGGTGTGAAGTCATTTTCAAGAAAATGATATTTTTGTATACATTTCCAACAGTGGTCGGCCGACCACCGTTGGAAAAACCTAACTATTTAGCAACTACTGCTCAAAATTTACCATTTCTTCAGTCCAAATTTTGTTTGCTTATTGGTTACATGTTCATGAACGGGTGCAGGTCAGCTAAACTAGTTCCCTTACCTTACAATTTTCCGGCATCTATAAATGGATCCATTTTATCTTTAGTGGAGTCAGGGAACCAGACTACTTGAACATTTTTGTTTTTCTTGGTTTTTCAAGCATTTTCGAACACAAAACTTCAAATATGTCAGTGTAACAATATTTTATCTATTATACTAACCCCTCAAATAGTTCATTTCTGAAAATTACAGCAAAGGCCAATGATGTACATTCCCTTTAATAACAGCAAAGAAATGTTTAAATCTCACTCCACACAACAGCCACTGACTTACATGTATGTATCACAAAAGTGCTGACTATCATGCTTGTACAAAGGTTTGTGCAGACTCAATAATGACCTTTCAACACCCGATTCAGCATTCTGGCAAACATAATCCCCGTCACTCCACTGTGCCCTGAAGCCACCCCCACTGCAAAGTGATTTCTTTATGCACACACTGGCTTGCCCAACTTCCAACCACAGAGCAAGGACTGAAAACACTCTTTCACTCTTTTTAAGGAAAATGGGGTCATATTCTGCGAATAATTTCCAAATTCGGTATTTTCTTCCTCAATTCTGCGAAAACCTGAGGGTACTGAAGACATATTCATTTCATTCACAAAAATCTTGCACTTGCAATCCAACCTGGCACTTCCAGCTGATTCCCAATTCCCACGCTTCTTCTGAGTGACAAAAACTGACCAAAATGAAGAAAAAAAAGTTATTGAATTCCAGCGAGGTCAAGCAACTTGGTGTCAACACTTTCAGCGACAACAGACAAAAGGCACAACACTGGCTAAAAAAAATCCTTACCACTTCAAAAAGGAAACAGTATACCACAATTCCGGCTGGTGCAGACACCATCAAAAAAAAGAAGGGAAAAAAAGTAATAATCCACAGTCAGACAAGAAACTTGGCGCGATCAGCCTCCATTAAGTTGAATCATTCCTTTGGGCTGTTAAACACGCAGGATCGGAGCTCTTTTCCCTCTCTTCACGCCACACTTTCAGTGAAAAGCAATAATATACATGTACATTCCACAGTGGGCTCTGCGGGTCCTTGTTGCTAGTGAGTGCAGTTATATTGTTGTAGGACTAGACTGGCCATGTGAAGCCATGCCACTGGCCCCGGCCTCATTCAACAATGAACAGAGGTGTTTACCTCTAGAAGGAGTTTTTTTTAAAACTGTGATCAAACATTGCGGAATTATCATTGTGTGTGTACTCTCTGCCCCCTGCGGTATAATCTTTTATCGCAGGTCAATACAGTAAAAGGTTTCACAGACTGCAAGGCCTTTTTTACTGCGCGATTCCAGAGTTGTTTTCTTGGGGGAACATATGTCGGTTTTTGTTTTTGGTATATCTTTAAAGCTTTTTATTTTTTATTTCAACAAAGCAAGGGGAAAGCGTACTTCTTTAAATTGTTTGTCAGAAAACAGTTGTTTTGCTTTGAAGTTGTTGCCATTATTAACGCATGACTGCCAGCACGGTATGTGTTTGTCCCCGACAATTTCCCTTCATGCCAGTAGAAAAATAACAATGTATAATCATTAGTAAACAGAGAGGACTAAAAAAATAATGGACATTTGAAAATTTACAATGTGTAAACATCTGTACACAAAAGAGGATAGAAACAATACTTCTGAGACTCATGTAAAATAAACAATGTTGCTAAGGTTGATTTCATTTGTAGAAATGAAAGTGACATTTTAAATTGAAGTTTTCATTTTGATAAACATGAAAGTGACAAAGCTGTGTTTCACAACAAGTCCTTGAAAAAGTTGTTTGTATCAAATATCATTACCTTTTTTACAGCTTCCCATGTTGCAATATGTGCCGGCTTACCACACTGTTAAGAACCCAAGTAGGCACTGACAATATGGTCTAAGCCGCAGCCATTGTTAGTGGGTCGTTCACAGAGGGAGCAGTCCCCTTTAAAACTGCGACCTCGTCAGCAATTAAGGAAGTGATCATTCACAACACACAAAAGTGACAACAAGCCTCAACCAAGGCCGACCACGGCTCTGCCAGTGTATTTGCTGTGTGTGTGTGGATGTGTATACACCTGGCCACTTGTGGCAGGCAGCCAATAGGAACAAAGCAAGCCGAGAAAAGGGGCGGGGCTAGGCCGGCCTCCTGATAAAGTGGTGGAGCGAAGCATGAAGCATACAAAAGGCAACTGGCTTATCCTGTCTGGCCTGGTAGGGCCAGGACTGGGGCATGGGGTACAACTTTGGGTGTAGTATCTCATCAGCGGCATGACCTTTGAAGGGTCACAACAGGGCCGGGAGGGGGTCCTAGCTCTATGGTTGTACATAACAGGAAGGAATGTCTAGCTATCTGATTGTCCAGAAACCCAGGCATTGGATCCTTATGTAGTGTGGTCAATTACCACCTGACAATAGAAATGCAACTAGTGGGGTTGGATGTCTGAAGGTGGCTTCTGTATTTGATACAAAGGACACACATGCAAGAAAATACACAGGTTTTTTTTTAGTCCATCTTGGGCACATACCAATAGTGCACATGGTTGGGTATTGTTAAAAGATTGTACGGTACTTACTTTCCTTACTTAAGAATAGATCTTAACACGATTAATGAAGAAAAAGTTAGCGTGGAGAGCAGGAATATTCACTAAATTGAGCAAATGCCAAGAACATTATAGGAGAGCATCTTATTCAAAATGGATATGATTATGAATATGATCCTAGTTTACATTTTGTTCAAAATTTTCAAACAAGGTCAGGATGGTATGGCAATTATAAAAATAAAAACATTGTTAGAAACTTGATGGGAAAATTCAGACTTGTTTTAAGTTGGTCATCGAAAACAAGGACAAACCTTTAAATACATATTTTACATGTACAGCACGTTAAAACGGCTACAACTTAAGCGTAGAACAATCATTTGTGGGACAAAGAAAAGTGTTCAAAGGAAAAAGGAAATTCTAGAATTGTCCTCAGACCATATGGTACTGTTCTGTCAACTGTGGTTTTGTTTAGTACTTGTGTCCCCCACATGCATGGTGTCTGGTAATATCAGCACACAGGTGAAAGGCATCAACAAGACTGTCTGCTAGTTCTAAAGTTACATGGTGTTATTGTTTGCAAATATTATAACATTCCATACATTGGCAAGCACACCCAACAAGAACAGTGAACCATGTTTTCACTGTTGGTACAATTATGAACAACTGGTCAGACCACTAGGTGGATAGTGTGTTGAACAAATCAGGCCGTCCAAAAAGTCAGACATTCATTTCAGGAATATATTCAGTTCTGGAATTTTTAACGCAGTCACGGACTCATGGTCCCATTAAAGGTACATTGGATCATTTGCATTTTATGCATTTTTGTTTTCATATGAAGCAACAAATCTGCTCAAAATCTTAAGAAGGATCATGCATAACAACTAGCTGCGGATGTTTTAACTCAGTGGTAACTATACAATTTTAGACTACTAAACATTTTTTTTCCAAAGTATTTGCAAAATTTGTTGGGTCTTGTAACTGGAGTCCGTTGCTAAGGCACATTAAAAAAGTGTGTCTACAGGCACACTTTTTAAAACCACCTTCAACGATTGTTGAGGTGGCACCATTTTATGTGGGAAAATGTCCCAGGATATTTGGTACTATCCCTATCTTCACTTTGAGAAAGATTTTTCACAATAAATCGGTAGGTCTGTTTCTGCATGTTTACCAATGTTCCTATGTGCCTTTAAACGTGAATAATGTAAATTTCGCACTCCCAGTGTGAAAAAGGCGGAAATGAGGCAACAGAATGACTGGCAGTGGTAGACTGTAGACATGTCGCTGTGCAATTCCATCTCAAGCAACATCAATCATGTAATGATGAATCACACACGCTAATCATGTTCCCCTCGCTGAAAACATTCCTGCGCATGTGGCAGCCGTATCAGCAAAGATGAGAAATGAAATGTTTTGTCACTGTGAGTGACTCAATCCAGAATCACACCAAGTGATTAAAGTAATGTGATGATAACATGCTGATGCATCATCTAAATTAGAAATTATGGGTTTTTTAAGCAAAAAGAAAAAGATGGGGATCCAATTTCATAGAACTGCTAAGCACGTCGAGTACAGAAAATTGTTAAGCAGAGATTTTTGCAATTCTATGCTAATTGCTCATGGCTGGTCCTCAGCTGACTTCTGCTTAGCATACATATTTACTCTGGGTATTCTGCTAAGCCACACCTTGATAAAAGATCTGGGGCCCAATTTCATGGCTATTCCTTCCTCCATGGCTAACCACAGCATTCTGCGCTGACGATCACCATTCTGTGCTAACAGAAAATTCTGCACTAGCCTTGTAAGCACAGAAGCCTTTCAGTTACGGGATGTACGCATGCGCAGGAAGCCAAAATTCCTCCCTAACCTGTGAAATAAGCCTACCGTAAGCACAACATTTTCTACTACACTAAGCACGTATTTTTCACTAACCTTTATAAGCAGAGCCACAAAATTGGGCCCTACTAAGCATGGTGAAGACTGCAATGTGCTAAGCACAGAATATGTATGCTATAAAATATAATGCTTGACAGAGGTTCTTACAAATTACCTGTTTGGTGCAAAAGTTTAATTGGCAGTCTGTTCCGCTTTAATAGCAACACCATCAAAATAGCTCCAGAGTTATGAAGATCCCATGTAGTGAAATGAAACGATCAAATTCCTATGCATGAAAAATGAATTGCCGTTGGTAAATATCCTCGGGACATCTTTCACAAGCGTTTTCAACTACTTGCTTGTGCTGCCTGGTTGAGCCAATTTCACAGAGACTGGTTTCCAGAAAAGGTCAACTGTCAGGCCATGAATAATTCAAAAAAGGTCATCTCATGGTGAATCAACTATTTCAGCGCGCTGACAATACGGTCACTCACATTGCAGCACTTCCATTGGATAATTCATGGGTATCCTTGACGTCGAGCTTAGAAAAACTCGAAGATCTCGAAGATCTCAACAAGGCAAAAAACATGGATTAGCCGCTCTAGACTACAAAATGGAAGGAATACCAATTGTTCAAGCTCTAAGTCAGTCTTTTGTTTTTTAGCTGTTAATTAAATGACGATTCAACCTGATGAGGAAATAGCAAGGCTGATTGAATTCCAAGGGGATTTTTTTTTCATGAGGTGCGAGTTATGTTTTTCTCAATCAATTACTGTGGCCATATGTATGAAAGGTTTTGTTTGTTGGGCTAGCCTTGACAGGTTTTGGAGGGCTATTAATCATTCCATTCTCAACTTATCAATTAGTATTAGAAATCAATTGTGGCCAGATGAACAAAAAGTTGTGTTTATTGGGCTAGTTTTTGGCCAAAAAAATAAAACATTTTGATTTCCCAAGATTTTAAAAGACTTTTATTAAAACTCTAGAATTAAATCCCAAATTAAGAGAAGAATTAAATCTAGAATTAGAATTAAATCTAGAATTAAATCCTGTCAAATAAAAAAAAAAAATTCCGGGAAATTATAATCAAAATTTTAGGAGTTGATTGTTTTTGCTTGGCTGTACATCATGCTAGTACTTAACCCATTTTCAAAACAAAAAGGACTTTTTTAATGGCAAACAAAATATTTTTTTCAGTTGAACATAACCATACGGTTTACAAAAATGTATTATTGCTTGTACTAATTACTCCACTCTACAGAATAATCTCTACTGCAATATCGAAAGATTGATCACCCAAGCAAAAGAAAACATTAAAAAGAAACTCATGTTGAAATTTTCTGCCTCATTTCTCTCCTATAATTCCAGGTATTTTCTAGGCTAGCCCAAAATGTAAAACATAATGCAATATCACACACGTGCTGAAAAACTGACATTTTTTAGCATTTCAAGTGATATGCAATTTGGCGTCTTAAATGATGTGGAACAGCAAATGGACCTTTACCCTTTCAAGCCAAAAATACACAGCGAGTTTTGGGAAATTGCCTGAGTTGTATGCTTTAAGGCACATTTCACCGCCCCGTTGCGTGTAGGAATCTCTTGAGGGTGAGGTGGGGTTTTTACCATATTTATGTTGTTCTACATGAAGTTGACATGTTCATGCTTAGTGGTAGGTTCATGCTGCTTAAAACATGAGTTAAGAAGTTGCGTTAATTTGACTTACACAGTGCTGTTTCTTTTGGGTCCTTTTTACTATATATATTGACATTAATTTACAAGCTCAATATCCAATTTTAGTAGAAAATAGCTGGTTCTACAGAACCTGTGAAAGTATTTTTGTCCCTTTTACTTTTATTTCCAATTTGTTTATTTGGCTTAAATGCTGTTCCATGTTCTTTAAAAAAAATCCTACTTTACATAATGTTTTACATCTATGTACATGCATGTACATATATTCTAGTAGTGAAAGCCATTTCATGGGCCCCACACTTAATTGACTCAAGTAACCCATGATCATTGTGTTTTAAACATGAATTTAAAAAAAAGAAGTAAAAAAAAGTAAACCAAATTCAGAAACACAATAATTTAACAAATTCGTCAAGGATTTCTAACTATTACAATTTCTCCACAAAGGATCTGTGGGCCTTGCTTAATCTAACCAGGCATCTCTAATTTTAGACAATTAGCGTGTGTCTGTAGTTGGCAGTTACCGAGAGACGAGCTCTGCCGCGCATATTCCCCCCCCCCCCCCTAATCCAACAGACCGATATACCCAGCTGACTACTGTTCCGTGTGAGTCTGAGTGAGTGCTCATTGGATAATCATCTCTGGCACCGGTGACATCAGGCAATGGTGTGAGGGATCGCATATCAACTGGGCATCAAGATCGTTATCGATATCCCGCTGGTTTTTGTGTCTCCCTCTATTTTTTTGTCAGAGTCAGTGCAGTAAAGCAAGGAAACACTGCGGTTTGAGAGCTGTTCTCTCATTCAACAAATTTATAATCAGTCCTTAACCTTAGCCACCCCAATTCTTCAAAATCCAACTGCAAGTTTTGTTGGAATCTGTTGGAGTGAGGTCTGCACTAAAGTAAATGGTTTATGCTTATAATCAGAATCCAACAGTGTG